AGTATCTGCCCTGTAATGCTCTTAACAGTTCATTCCAATTGCTACATTACAAAGCAGTCATTTGGATAAATTGAAGGCCAACCTGAGTTACATAGTAAGTTCCAGGATAAATTGAAGGCCAACCTGAGTTACACAGTAAGTTCCAGGATAAATTGAAGGCCAACCTGAGTTACATAGTAAGTTCCAGGCCAACTTGAATATTCAATACTATCAATATTCTGTTTCAAAACAACTAATCTACAAATTTCTCATATGTTCTGATTTGGTAAGACCAAGCATCGTACAATGGTATGGATATTTAAAATACTACTTTCTTTTTATTATAATTATTTGTCTAAATAAAGAACACTGACTGTGGAAGTTTGAATGTAAATGGTCCCCATAGGCTCATAGGGAGTGGCACTATTAGGAAGTATGGCCTTGTTGAGGTACATGTGGCTTTGTTGGAGGAAGTTTGTCACTATGGGAGTGGGCTTTAAGGTTTTCTATACTCAAAATACCTGCAGTGTCTCAGTTTACTTCCTGTTGCCTGGTGCAAGATGTAGAACTCTCAGCTACCTCTCCAGCACCATGTCTGCCTCAGGCCACCATGTCATATCATAACAATAATGGACTAAACCTCTGAAAGTGTAAGCCAGCCCCAATTAAATGTTTTTCCTTATGAGTTGTCATGGTCATGGTGTCTCTTCATAGCAACAGAAACCCACCTAAGACACTGACTTCCCATAACATTGGTGCTGTGGGATTCCTTCCTTTTATTACTACACTGCAAACCCACCAGCATCAAGGATCTCCAGGTAAAATTTACAATCTGTAAATGCAGAGTAAAACTGTTAAAATTTGTGATCGAATTTATATCCTTTTAAACAGAAATATCTTCTTTTGTAACATATTCTAATTGTGGATTTCATCTTATTGAACCAAAAAGGTATTTATTTTCTGGTATTAACACTGTAAGAACAATTTTGTTGAGCACTGATCACTTGGCAGTCTTGGAAAACTTCAACATCCAGGAACCAAGGAGTGCAACCCAAGAGAAAAAGAACTGCTCAGTTTCAAGGCTCTCCTCAGGGGGAATCTTGCAAAGATACCTGACTGAAATGTCATTGGTCACCTAAATCTAAAGGAGATCACAATTACACACAAAAGGCTCTATAATGTCATCCCCCTTCCTTAAAGAGAAAATAGCTCAGGCATACCTTATGAGAATGACATAATATTTACCCCATGTAATGCTTTTCAATCTTTTTCTCAATGTAACTTCCTATATTCTTAAAAATGAACATCAGTTACCATTTAATTTCTCCTCATAAACTATGGTCATTCTTTACTTGTAAACATTGGCAATCATGGAGATATGTCTGCAGGGGTTATTTGCTGTGGAGTTACCTTGTGTACCATTGAACGGTTCCAAACTGCCATGTTTTTTCACTTCTCATGTATGTATATATGTATGTATTTGCCTATGTATGGATGGGATGGATGGGTAGATAATGTGTTTATGTATATTTTAAAAATCATTTATCTCCCTCCTCCCTTGTTGTCAAGCTGTCAGTCAGTTGTCATGTTTTACTTCTGTCAGTGAGCCTGCCTTTCTCACACTGCTAGTCAGCTGTCAGCTGACATATCAGATAAACAAAACCTCTGAAACTAAATTAACAATTGGTGCTCAGTGGTATTGCCGAGACTTGGATATATGAAATAGAGTTCTTCTCTTCTCTAAATATACATATATATATATATATATATATATATATATATATATATATGTGTGTGTGTGAATGTAATAGCCACAATATTTCATCCAAATACTAATGTAGGGTGTGTGTGTGTGTGTGTGTGTGTGTGTGTGTGTGTGTGTGTGTAGGGAAAAGGAAGGGAGAGAAGGTGTGTGTGTGTATTTGTATGTGTATGTATGTGCAGAGGGGAAAGGAGAGAAAAGGTGTGTGTGTGTGTGTGTGTGTGTGTGTGTGTGTGTTTGTGTGTGTTTGTATAGGGGTGAAGGAGGGAGGAAGAAAAGGGGTATTGAGTGTGTGTGTGTAGTGGGGGAAGTAAAGAGAGGTATGTGTGTACAGAGAATAAAAAGGAGGGAGACAGAGAGGAGGAGAAGGGGGGAGGGAGGGATAGGGAGAAGGGACCAAAGAAACAGAAAAAGCCACAAAGTGATATTTCATCAAACTTGAATCCTAAATTACTGTCTATCAGAAAAACACATACAGAACTTTTCTGCCAGTCTTCAAGGTGGACTATTCCGAGATCATAGGTTAGGACCCAACCATTCCTTTTAGCCCATCACCAATTCCTTATAACTCCCAACACACCTGCAGAAACAATTTCTACTATGGGCTCCAGAGCCAATTGGCTGTGGCTCAGACTAGGCAACAACAATCAAGCACCTACTAAAGGCAATACCAGATACAACACCAAGTATACCTCAAATGTCCAAACTCCAGATGCCTAGACTGCAGAGCAAAGACACAAACATGAAAAAGCAAGACATTATACCTCCTCCAACAACCAACAACCTTGATGGAATAGGCCTTGAGAAAAGCAATTTAGCTTAAGCACAAGACAGTGACTGCAGAATAGCAATTATAAATACATTCAAGGACCTTAAAGAGGGTATAAATAAATGCCATAACAGTTAAAGGAATTAATGAAAACAATTCAAGACACGAATGTAGAATCTAACAGAAAAATAGAATCATGAAGAAAAATACAAACTTAAATACAACTCTAAATAAAAAATTCAGGATGTCAAGTATCAAGTACAGTGGTAAGCCTCACAATCAGATTAAAAGACAGATATGTGAATTTCAGGTCTTGAAAACAAAGTAGAAGAAACAGGTAGCTCACTCAAGAAAAATGTGAAATATGAAAAATTCCAGGCAAAAAAAAAAAATCAAAGAAATCTTGAAGACTATGGAAGATATAATGGTGTAAAAGTGGCAAAAATGTTATACCAGTAATCAACAACTTTGGGATTGAATTTAAGGGGCCAAAAATATGACAATAGATAGGTCATGGGCCATTGAGTTAAACCTACTACACTATTCTGCTGAAGGAGCACAACAATAAAAAGACATCCACAGATCAATGCATTGCTCAGCCCTCATCATAGAATGTACTTCTTACAATAGATGGAAATTAACACAGAGACCCACAACTGTACAATGTTCAGGTAGTGAAAGACTTCGGAGCATACAGCCCTAAATGGAATGTCTTTATCAAACCCTTCCCATCAAAACTCAAGGACCTAAGGGCTAGAAGAGAGGGAAAGATTATAAGAACCAGAGGTTGTGGATAACTTCATGGAAATAGCATCCTTCAGACACAACAGAATTTATACATATAAAGATTTTGACAGCACACAAGTTCAAACCAGAATAAAATTTCGGCATGGAAAAGGGAGTAGACACAAAGTCCTATCCCTTACCAAGAAGCTATTTCCATTTAATAACCTGCTGGAAAAAGGAAAATCAGGTTTCCCCAATGCAATAACATTGAATATATCAACCATATTCCATGGGATACTAGTATTTTTTGTTTTGTTTGGGTATTTATTTATTTATATATTTATTTATTCTCTCATTTTTATTTTGGTGGGTTTTATTTGTTTTGATTCTTTCTTTTTGACAAAGAGAGACTAAGAGAGAACATGAAGTTCAGGAAAGATCTGAGAGACATAGGGGGAAGGTAAATAATGTGATCGAACTATATTATATAAACTTTTTAAAATAAAATTTAAAAATTAGATAATGAGTATTACTCTACAACAAAATCTGGGTCAACTGAGGAGTGGAGAAGGTGTACTACGGATATTAAGTCATTTCAGATATAGAGCAAAAACTTGAAAATTTTTCTCTTATTTTTGAGATTATAATATAATTACATCAGTCCTACCTTCCTTTTTCTTCCCTCAAACCCTCCCGCATACCACTCTTCACTCTCTTTCAAATTCACAGCCTCTCTTTTCATTAATTATTATTACACACATATAGGTATATGTGTATACTGCCTCAACATGAGCTGAAAAACGACATGCAAGGGAGTGGGAGAAAGTCCTTGAGGCTTCAACACTACACAAGTAACTACAGACAACTAAGGAATGCTGAGAGTGGGAGAAATTGTCTTCCCTGGGAAAGAACACAACTGGCTATCCATTATTAAATGGTCAGCCCTGAAAACATACATAAAACAAGTAACATTATGGAGACTAAGCTATTCTAAAATGCCTTTAAAGGATGCAATTACAGAACACCAGTGTCCTAAGCTATTGTAAGTGAAGAAAACTTCCTATTCTCTAGGGAGAAATAATCCCAGTGGCAGTAAATATAGGTTTTTCTAAGTTTAATTGTAAATGACAAAAAATTCTATACTGTTCTCTTTTCACAACATCATTCGCTCTAATTCAAGGTGAGCTTGGTAACATGGCTTATAAAAGAACCCTGAGTAACAAAGAAAAAGAACATTTAGTACTTCTGCAACCCAATGTGGAAGGTTTCGTTCATTTTTAAGATAACACAAACTATGAAAATGAAGAAGAAAAAGAAGCCTAAGGAACTAGAATGGGAAATTAAAATCATTGAGAAAATGATATTGAATATTGATTTACTTAAAGGAGTTACTGTTATACATTATAAATACCAGGCCTACACTAGATACAAAAGTTGAGGAACATGCTTGGCAATTACTTCTATAACACAACAATCAAAACAAAAAAGAAATAAAACAGTAAGTGCTACAACCCTAAGTGTCCTACTTTGGTAAACAAATAAATAAGAGTAAAGAAACAAAAAATTCAATACCTAGACTAATGATTCACTGATAAGATGGATATGAGATCATCAAAAATTTATATAATCGCATTATGGAGAGCTATAACTCAGTTATCTATTTAACTATACTTATACTGAAAAGTTAAAGTTAGGAAAAAGAATTTCAATTTCAAAACACTTGATTTATGATAAAATGTCAAAAACAGAGTCAAACACACTGACCTGCTTACATCAGGAAACCTGATGGGAAAATAAATAACCTGACACTTGGGTCTGATTATGCTTTCCAGATCCTTAGGTCTATGATCAGGAATCAGCTTCAGGAATTTTCCAATGGAAGTAAGAAACGATTCCATATTAAAAAAGGAATTGAATACCACCACATCAGCCACCAAACTGTGAAGAGAAAAGGCAAACGAAAATGATTAAGAGTTATCTTATAAGCCTAAGACCTCTGCATACTAATCAGACTTTCTTTTGTACCTCAGGTTTCCAAAGAGCAGCTAACAAAAATATCAGTTCTTAGTATTCTATCATAAATGGTTGCGTTGATGGCTTCACAGAATACAGACCAGAGAAAAATTAGATAGTTGAGTAACATCAAATAAGACTTCAAACTAATGCCTAATTCCCATACCTCATCAACTTTCCATATTATCAGCACCGAGCACAGCAAGCCCAGCCCATGTCTCTAAGTAGTCAACTATGAAAGACAGCTAGCTGTACAGCTTCCTCCCAATCTCGGAGGAAACTAACTCCCATGAGGCTACTCCTAAGGGGTCACAATATCTTCAGCACTATTCAGTTAAAGTCCATTTCTAGAGTTTTAGCCTTTTTTTTGAAGAAATATTATTTTTAAGATCTGGTACTACATGGCATCTCTAAATAAGTTATTTCAGTATTATAGTATGCTTAGGACAGTCATGGAAGTAAAAAAAAATAGTGGAATACATCTAGATATCCACATTACTAGGATTTATTACATTTATTACTTATATATATAGATGATCAAAATTTGTTGATCTTTAGAAATAAACAAAAGAAATATAATAGTGATTGATTTTGACAAACTGTCTTTCTTCAATATTTTGAAAATACAAAACATATTTTTTAAAGAAAATGTGAAAGCAGGTTTTAGATCTCACACACACACACACACACACACACACACACACACACACACACACACACACAAATATACCAGTAATTTTCTTAATTTCTATTACATTGTCTTCAACACCAATGAATGCCAATGGTAGCTATGGATATGCTGGATAAAACCTAGATGTGTAAGATGAACAAAAATTGATTTAGTAAGCTCTGACTCTTAAAAACGTCTATGATGACTACAAGGTTTTCAACTTTACACACTGCAAAGAAGGAACTTCAGCTGAAGAACTGCCTGCCACCAGACTGGCCATGAGCATTGTTTGCATGGCATTTCCTTGATTACTAATAGTTCCTGGGAGGGTGCAGCACTGTGGGTGCTGCCGTCCCAAGGCAGGTGGGCCTGGGCTATGTAAAAGGGGGCCTGGGAGCAAGCCAGTGAGCAGCATCCCTCAGTTTCTACTTCAAGTTAGAGGTGTTTCTCTGAGTTTACTAATGATGGATTGTGACTGGAAAAAGGAGATAAACCCTTTTCTCCCCAAGTTGCTTTTACTCATGATGTTTATCACAGAACATCTTATTTGTTTTACCAACCACTCAGTATTACTGAACAATTCCATGAGAAGATAAACATGACAAAACAGTTAGCTTTATTTCATCCTAAAAAATAATATATCAATAAGACTGGGAAAAAAGCATGAATGTCCATAAGGCTATAAAAAAAAACATCATAACAAGTAGAGCTTATAGATAAAATATGAATGCCACAGCTAATCCTTGGCTTAGTTTAAAACATACTTACCAAGACAAGCAGGTCTGCTATTATTAGTACACAAAAGAACACCCGATCACAGATACACTGACTTGCCAATTCTATGCTTCCTCTAAAACTGCTTTTGCCTGTTTATTTTTTATTTTTTATTTTTTCAGCTCCTACCTAGTGATAATTTGGGGAATGGAGGCAATACCAACACACATAACACAAAGGAATATCACAGAAGTGCTGACACAAAGCTAAGCAATAAAGAAGCCAATACTACACTATACTAAAAGTTGAAGAATGTTTCACAGCTAGTCTGTTTGCACCATTTGTCATAGATTGTAATAGTGACTAGCGGGTTATAATGTATAGTCATAGCATGTGTTCCTGAGTCAGAGGGCTAGTGGAACCTCTGTCTAAGGTGATGGCTTACGTCAGTCACTTTAAAATTCTCAACTACCACACAGTCCAGAAAGAAAGCTGACAGGGCCAGCAAAAGCAGAAGTCAGCAAGAACACTGAAGAAGAATTTCAAGAAGAAGCTGTTCTTTTCAAAGAAACTGAAACAGGACTGCTTTCTGATATTCTTATTTTTCCTCTGGACAACTGTGAAATATTCTTTTTCCTATTACGAAGCCAAATGATGATGTAGTCCAGTTATTTCTCGACAAGCTTGTCTATCAGCTTTTCCTCTTGAAAGGAGAAATAATGAAAAATTATATGCAAGTTTTCATTCTCTCTCCTTATGAGGAAAAACAATCATTTGTAAAGGAGAAGAGGAGCAGTGAGCTATTTTTTAAATTTAGTATCTGCCTGAAACAGGCACACCACCCAAATACTATTAATCTAAAATGGTCTATGTTGTTAAAGATTCACATTGATCTAAAGAAATATACTTTTTTACATATTTCCTCCCTGATATGAGTGGGTGTTACTTCCATTAACTTTTAGGCCACACATAAAGGGAAAAATATTTAATTACTCCCTTGTGGTTCCACAGGGTAATAAAACCATAGTATCTGAAAAATAAAATGGTACAAATTTAAGGAATCACGAGAATATTGTTAATGTTTTATATATTGATAAAAGTAGAAGGGAATTTCATTTTCATATTTTTAAGTATATGTACATTTATGTTCATTGGTGTGTTGCCTGCATGTCTGACTAAGACGGGGGGGTCAGAGCTCTGGACCTGGAGTTACAGAGGTGAGAATTGCCATGTGGTGCTAGAACTGAGCCAGTGCTCTCAACCTAGGAGCTATCTCTCCAGCCCTGCATTTTCATTTTGAAAACATATTTTCCTGTTGTCATTTCAAGATGAAGTATTTCAGTTTTATTGTGAAATTTGAAAATGGTTGCTTTTAATGAGACATTTGACCGCAGCAGTTCTGTTTTGATAGCACTGCTCCCTCACAATCTCAGCAGCTTGTAAAAATGACTGCATAAAAACACTGACAACATGCTCAAAACAATTAGTACCATTAGAGTTGTTTTTCTATGTCAACTAAACTAAGGAACAGGCTAGCAAGGTTTGTTCAAACACTTTCTCAATCTCTGTAGCTAATAACTACTTAATAAAGGTGTGTAACATGTATGCAATCACTCTCAAATTGATTCCATGTGTCTCATGCAGAGATGCAAAAGGATTCTGCAGGAAAGCTGGTATAGGGTTGCTAAGGAACTTCTTTCAGTAGATATCAAGTGAAACACTGTATTGGAGTAACAATAGAGAAGGCCTGCACCTTTGAAATGGCAGGTATTTTCAGACTGTCATTTCAGAAGATGCAGTGGGAGGAGGGATGAAAAACACTGAAACATCCACATTCCATTTTCTACAGTTTCTGTCTTAAAAGCAACAAAATAAACAAGCCAAAAAAATAAAGCAAACAAAAAAGTAGGAACTACAAAAAACCCTTGATCTGTTGAATTTTAACTTCTCTAGTAAATTTAGCTGAATACAGTGAAAGTAGTTGATAAAAGAACGTTCTGGGTTTCCTACAATTCAAATAAAAGAATTAAGAGGTAAAGATCCTTGTCAACAGTTTATATTCTATTTTGAATGTTATGTAAAACATAAGATAACTAGTTCAAGGTATAACTAGATGATTAGTCTATGTATGTATGTGTGTGTGTGTGTGTGTGTGTGTGTGTGTGTGTGTGTGTTTAGTTCATAAATTGAATAGCAGTGTTATTACAAATCCTGCAGAAATACAAATAATATTATGGAAAGAATCGTCAAACACCTGTACCTGCCTTAATATGCTTATAGATTTATAGTGTTCTCCACATTTATAATCTAACCATCTACAAAGAAAAATATGGGGACTGGAAAGATAGATCATCAGTAAAAAGAAACTGCTTCAAAATCATGAGGACTCAAGTTCAAACTCAAGCACCCACATAGCAAACTGGGCATACAGTACCTGCCTATAACTCCAGCTTCTAGAAGGGCACAGATATAAACAACTCTGGTACTTGCTAGTTTCAAGTGTAGCAGAGAAAAATAGAAACCTTGGATTTAGGGAGAGACCCTGTCTCAAAAGAACAGGCAGAGAACGACAGAAGGCACCCATCGCCCTCTTCTGGCCTGTGTGTATGCATCCCCCCACCCCTATAAATCTGTTTTGAGAAAAGTAAGGGAAAGATGGCGAAGACCAAATCTTATACAATCTATACCTACCATGAGAGAATTTGGTTGTATCCATACTGAAAATCCCTCTCTTGATATTTCTGGACAGGATATACCAATTGGTTTTCATGGAAATACAAGATCTTCTTCAGTTTGCCCAGATCAGGCCGAAGGGCAGCCAGTTCAGTCAGGTTAAGTACTGAGCTTGCAAAGAGGGTCCTAAGGAAGAAATAAAGGTTTACTATTCTAAACAAGCTTGAAGGGCCACCCTTTGCCCTTCTCCTCTCCCACTTCTTCCCACCCCAAGACACACATATTCCCATAGGGACACATAAATGCTTGACTTAGTGCCATGCGGAAGCAGTCCCAGTTCTGATGTCTTAAAAAGCAACTGCTAAGAACTATAAAAGTCCTGATTTCATTGGTCTCAGCTCAGCTTAGTTTCTGAGGGACAGGAAGAAGAAAAAGAAAGGAAATGGGCTGGATTTTATAAAAAGGCAAGAAAAGTTCTATCTGAAGGACAAAAGAAATAAAGGACAGGCTGGATGGGGAATACATCTGCCTGCCACTTCCACTGCAACCAACAACTGAGATTCAGTACACAAGCAGGATCAGTACATGTTCATGTCTTGACAAAACTCTTTTTGATATATGCAATACACTTATGTAGTGTGGTCTTTTCTCTTGGCATGTGTGCTGAATGCCCCCTTTAAAGTATCCTATAATCCTTAGACTAAGAAGAAAATCTTTTTTCCTCTATTACTAGACTGTTAATGGCTGGCACTAGATATGTAAAACCCCTTATAGACACCAAATAAAAAATGATAAAAGGTTGATTGTAGAAAAAAACTGGAAGTTTATCTATCCATGTTTATAAATAAATCAAAATACTTATTTGCTCTCACTCTGCATTTAGTTAAATGCCTATTGTGTGATAAAGGAAGTTGAGAAGAACAGAAATATTGATCAAGACAGCCCAGAAGGATGACTACTGACTTTTATGGAGTCATACACACAGCATTAGAGGAACAAACAAAAAGGGAGTACTAAGAGATTTAGACAGTCTGGAAAGGGCTCCCTGATGAGATGCCTACCACATACAGAGACAAAAATGGACTGCACCTGGACAGCTGGGAACATTCAGATAGATAACCCTTCCAGCTTAATTCTAAAAAGTTGAGTGCAGAAAAACTGAGTGTTCTCTACAAGCACACTAGGAGTCAGTGTCAAAGCAGAAAGCACTGAATTGTTTTCACTGTACCACAGCTACTACAGCTGGTGGATGACTTACCATACAAATATTCCGTTGGTCTAGATTTAAATACAAAATATCACCCTTGTTATTCAAGTGATCACTCTGACTATCAACCCCCTTGTTGACAAGAAAATGGTTAACTTGATGTGTTCACATAATCTGCAGCACTAGTCTTTCACACAAAAGGCATGGTTATTACTAAGTATTTATAGCATAAACCAGAATTCAGTTTGACTGAATTCGATGTGTGCTATTCACTGTCCTCTTTCGAGTTTTTATGACTTCTATATATTAAAGTGACAGATTTTGAGGAATATTATTAAGTAAAAAAAATTATTTAACATTCCACAAAAAAGCAAATCTATCATCTTAGATATTCTCCAGCCAAACTGTTAACTTTGATATAGGAAGATTTCCCCCAGCATGGATCAATACATTCAGAAGAAAAATGCCAATGATTTTTCAGTCCTCATAATTTGACAATATAATTTGCAATACCATTTCCTTTAGTGTGCTTAATCATTAAGAAATTAATTATATCTCATAACAATTGTTAAAACAGCATTCCTTTATCTCTATCTACTAGTTAAGTATTTCTCTGTTTTTTCTGGTAAAGTGCTAAACTGAACAGGCAATTCCTGGAATCTTTAGCTCTACAACCCAAAGTAATGAAAATGCCCACAAAACAAATCCAGCTAGCTATACTCTACAGATTTTTTTTTACTTTGGTTCAAACCACCAATTTCTAAAAGTTGATCATTAGACAATGAAAGGCATCATTCAGTCAGGAGCTAACTCTCAGCTACCAATGCTCATCTTGCCTCAGGTACCATTTAAGAAAGAAAGCTTCATAAAATGCACTGTATCATCCCACAGTGGGACTCTGGCAGGAAAGGGTATAAGGTGAGAACAAAAACCACTAGGAACAAGATAATTTCTGACAGCTGCTGCTTGAGCACAAGTTAAATTAAACAGTTTATCTCAGCAGGAAGATCTTATAAGGTTTTATGCTTAATATTTTTAAATTAACATAAAGCCCAGAGAAAGCAGTTGGGCAATCGTTCATAAACATGACATACTACAATCATTGCATAAGCTGGATTAGTACTTATTATAAGGCTACTACAGAATTAAGCTGTTTTTAAACCACCAAAGAGCTTTAAATTGCAACTTTTATCTCTGTAAAAGAAACCTATATTTAAAATGTCTACAGAATTCAAATTAACGGATACTTCATTAGCTTACCACTTTGCCCAAGTACAAATAAGTTGCTATTATAATTGTTTAACCAACATAGCTCAATGCTATAAGCACATGAATATAAGTCCATAGATTTGGAATTGTATCCATGTCCATATACATCGTTTCATACCTGCAAGGAAATTTAAAATAAAGGAATTTATTCTTTTCTGCTCAGCTTGAATAAAAGCCACATATATGTCACTCTCTTTGCTTAATGTATAAAGAAAATGCTGAAATTTGCCTATAAGCATGATCTTTGAGGTGCTATTTTTTTGCATCTTTGATAGTATGGATATTCAGTGACAAATAGAGCAGAGGGCTTATACTCATTGTCATGGCCACCACACATGAACTATGGTGAACTTTGTTTTCTCTAGCTTGACCCAGAAAATCCTCTCAGCAGGCTCCTCTAACCTGCAATTACTGACTACACAAGGAAACAAGACTGACCAGAGACATCAGTTTGGCTGTGTCATTCATTCTTTATTTTTTTTAAGCAAACTTTTTATTACAGATAACTCAACAATAAATTGCGACCCAGCATGTTTGATTTACCAGGGCTTAGTTTATTTTTTTATTATTTCTAAATTAAAATTTTTTAAAGATTATAACATAATTCCATCATTCCCTCTTCTGTTTACTCCCTCCAAATCCTCCCATGAACTCCTACCCCTGCTCCCTTTTAAATTCACACCCTCTTTTTCTTTGTTGTTACATATGTGTGTGTATACAGACATGCATATTCCTAAATGCATTTTTAAATAAAATTCATATAGCTTCAGTAGACCTTTGACAAAAAGCAAATTCTTCCATCTGTGTTATTTTAATAAACACCTAACTCTTAGAGATGATTCCTATACTCCATATCGTTACTAAAATTTGTTCTTTTCTTCCATCTTTTAGGCTCTGGCTATTTGATAGCTACTCCCCAGCATTATGCATTTTCAGTTCTGAGTATTTATCTGTGGTGATGGAGAAAAACTAAAACTGTACTGTCAACATACAACCAGCCAAATATAGTGAAGAGTACTTATCTGCACGTAAAACTGATTTGATGTGACTAAGTTGAATACCCTTATTTGACCAGTGGCTGTATTATCTAAATGGGTCATCTTTCTCTAAACAAATACTCCTTCATTCATGGTTACTTAAATATAACTGCTTACTTAGTAGACTTTCCTAAATAGTCTCTTGACTTCCATGGTGAAAATCGAATTTATAAGTTCATATTAATTAGTTCAATTTCATCTATTGGGCTGTCCAATTCTGGAATGGGACAATGTAGGGTTTCCCCTTACATTCTTGATGATTAATAAGATATATCCTAGGCAAAAATTTTTTAATTACTAAATTAAAAATATCACCTATTCTCACTCCTAAAAGAGCTTCATCCACCAAATATCACTCACCTATTTTTTGCAAGTTTGTAAACTCAATGATGGGTGTATGACAGAGAACAAAAGGAGACTAAGAAAATAACTAGCTTGACTGAACAGAGACCAAGGACAATGAAGCACTTTGCTCAGTTTGAACAAAGGTGAGACTGAAAAGGTGCATGGACCTTTGAAAGACACAAACACAATCTTCTATTATATGGACAGAACAAGAGACTGAAAAATTTTAAGAAAAAGGATTTGGGTTTTTTATTCTTCTTAGCTTGCAGTAAGTATAAATAACTGTTTGCAGAGTTTTTATTTTATGCTCTTAACCCTTAACAGCACATTACTTTACCACATTAAAAGTACTTCTAGAAAAGCATGGTATTGTATGATTGTAATACTAGCATTCAGGAGGCAGAAAAAGGACTACAAGATTGAAGGCAGCTTGGGCTTCATAGTGAGTCTGAGGCACCTAGACAATATAGCAAGAAATTGTCCTCTACAAAAAAAACAAAACAACAACAACAAAAACAAACACCCAACAAGTAAAGTATGATTTTTAGTTACATTTATTGACTAACTAGAGCAATGTTTTTTATATTTAGGTACCTAATATATGTTGAGTTGCCTTTGTATTATCAGTTATTATTATTATTATTACTTTAATTACACATTTTACAAAAAAAATTAAGATTACTTCATATACCAGACAACTTTTCTACTGTAGGGAATCATGAGAGGACAGAAGGTAGACAAATTAAATAAACAAACAAACAAACAAAAGCCAGCAACTGTGGTGAAGATTCCTTGATTAGAGTGATGTCAAATGGGGAGGCTGGAAGAGAGGAACGTGAAAGGAAGAGAGCTACTACGAGATGACAAGACAAGGGCAAGAGTGGTTAAAGTCATGTTGTTCTGTATCGACACCCTTCGTCACCTCTTCAGTGCAATTTTTAATCATCTGAAATTAGAATGAACTCACTGTTTTTATGTCAATAATACTCATTATCATCTATGCTGGAAATAGAACATAAATTATATAAAGAACCATATTGATATGAAGAACTTTATTCTTCTCATTCATCACATATTTCTTGAGTGACTGGACTACAGGACTGCTAGCAAAGATTGCCTAAGGACATGCATTCCAGCAGCGCCTATTCCAATGAAGAAGTCAACCTACTGAAATCTCAAGGAAGTGAACAGACACTGGGCTAGAAAAGAACGGCTGATATTGAGAATGATAAAAGAAACATGCCTAGCTTGCTTACTGAAAGGCAAAGGCCACCTATGACTCAAAGGTTTCTAGCTTGCATAAGCAGATAGGGAGTGATGACATTATT